GAGCTGCTTTGCTTCACAGTGTAATCCTTTTGTGTGTCATGGTGATGTTCACCTCCCACATGTACTTCCTACCCCCCCAGAATAAGCCAAGTAGGTGAGTAGCGACTCTCCTCTCATGCAGTTATGGTAAGCTGTGCATGATAAATGTAAAATCACAGGGTTGATAGTCTGATTTTTGGCTTAAGTTCATAATTTATTCTGCAAAGGTAAGCTTGAGACCTATCTTTACACAGCAAATATTTGTCATCTTTGCTGTTTGTACGTTGGGAATTACTGGCTGAGTAATATTTTCAGGCACCCTAACTCCTATAGGAACCACAGAAATCTGGTTTCAGCGTACAGTGCATTTGTCTGGTCACCAAACCCTTCAAGTAATTTTGTTTGTATATTTCTAGGGATGTTTCATTCCTCAGGATTTATATTAGAAAAATTCCTGCTCTTATGATTCCTCCTCTGCAAAGCCAAAAAAGTAGGCATTTTGCATGGGTATAAGCCCCAGCCATTTCAGCTTGATCACTGCTGTAGTGGCTGGGGCTGGCGGGTCCCTGGCAGGCTACAGAGCAGGAAGATGGAGCTTATGGTTGTGGCTCCAGGAAGCCCTGGGAAAGCCATATTTAATCAGGACAGCATGTATCTGGGAGGATCTGAGGGCATTTCCTCACTCTAGTGCTTGTTCTTGGTTGTCTCTCTGCCACTGCTTGCTAAGCCACACAGGCTGGTTCTGACTATGGTGTTGGGAGAGCCTGGCATGCCGACTGCCCCCAAGAAGCAGGCATCCCTCTCTTTTTGCTGGGCACACCACCAGTCAGTCCCTGTCCTAAGTACAGCTGAGCTTGCCTGCTTGTGGTTGATGGGCTCCTGCAGAAATGTTTCAGGAAAATCCTTCTCCCATTTGGAGCCCAGGGAAGTGTGAATCCTGAATGATGCTGGGAGTTGCTGACCAAAGATACGGACACTGGGTGGCATGCAGACCCTGGGGCAGCTACCAGGCTCCCCAGATGCCGTTGTCCATTCTGCTGCAGTGCTGGTGATGTGGAGTGTGCTGAATGAAAGGGTCTCTGTTAAGCCGAGCTCTTTAAGAGCTGAATCATCAAGTGGCATAAATCTCTTATTCAGTGCAGCTACGTGGTCTGTGTGTTACCTCACTCAGCCTCTTTTCTTGCACTGGACAGAGAAGGAAAGCAAAATCAACCTTAATGTTGCATGTGTCTCTTTCTACCCACTAATCTTTAATCCTGGTTTTAAGCAATCAATCATGATCAAGATGGATGGATGCTTTGAGAAGCACTTGCTCTACTAAAAGATGTGTTGTTTTGAAATGGGAGAAAAGCCCCTCTTTGTGCTTAAAAGAAGCAAAGAAACTGCTGAAGACAGGAGATTTCAGCCCCTGTGACTAGTATAAGGTTAAGCAGCCATAAATCCCACAGACAGTATGTTCTCGTAATGATTCAGGACTATAACCTTAATATTTTTATGTTAGCTGGATAATGTCAGGTTTCTGTGTGTCACAGATCTGTTCCCACAATTACAGTCATTTGAGCAATTTGGAATGCCTTATTTAGTGATGTTTCTGCACAGCTCAGCATCGGGTACAGAAAATGACAGGCTAGGTTTTCCCTAATCTTAGAGAAGTCCGAGTGCTTGCAGTGAGAAGGCATTGCAAGAACTGCAAGACCCTAGCGGAGGCTGGAGTGCGAGTTGTACTTTGGCATTTTTACTGATCTGAGAGTAATCTGGAAATTCATCAAAAGCTGTAAATAACGTGCAGAGAGAGCGCATGGATTTCAGTTCGTTTCTGCACCTCCCTGCAGGAGGCAGCCAGAAGTCTGAGCTGGGTGACAGGCCTCAGTGCGCTGGACATAACTGCACAGATGAGCCTTTTCTGGGAGTAGCTTGGACACTGCAGCCTGCTGAAAAGGGGAATCGCATCTTCGGGGATGGTGTCCACAGTGGGTTTTGGAGATGCATCATCTTTAATGGGACCATTCTGACTCCATTTGTCTGTTGCATTTTATAAGGAAGGTTTTGGTTTGCTGTACAGGAGATGACAGCGGTTGGGCCGTGTACATAATGTGAAACAGTCTGGATAAATCCGGTTTTGATGTATCCACCAGAGGAATGGATAAGGTCCATTTACTCCTTCAGTCTGCGGGGATGACAATTAACATGAAATATGGTTACCATTATTTTACCAAACAGTTTTCTACTTTATTTTCTATTAGATGTTGTAATTTCAAGCACTGTGAGTTGGGAGTTGATAGAGGAACACAGTAGACACTCACCTACATATACTATTTTAGGGTTGGTTTTGTTTGGGGCTTTTTTTAAGAGATGTTTTGCATTACAGACTGGGAAAAGCTGTTTATGAAATCTTTTCTAGCTACTGCATGTCTGACAGGGTTCCCTTTTGGACAGACTTGTGCAGACACAAGTAGAAACCCCCCCTTTTGGGGATAGGGTTTCCCCTTTTCATTCTAGTAACTCTATGAATTTGAAACAGGCTGTTTTAACCAGAACGTGCCTCTGTGTATAGGGTAGGGTGGCAGAGAGCCCTGGCTAGATAACACATTGCTTCAGACCATGCAAACTCATTTGAGGTTGCCCTGTAATATTCTTGTTGCTTGAATCTACCCTTGTTTTAATTTTACACTTGTAAAATGAGCCTGTTCTCCATAGGCACAATATGACAAATAAACATCTATGGAATGGAGACATGAGGCTATATATCGTGACAGCTCTGTAGCTTGAATATGAGTAGTTTTAAGTGGTCCAGTTTACTTGGGACTTGCATAATACTTTCCTGCTAGCTGTTCCCATTTTCCTTCCAGTCTCTCTCCAAAAGGAGGAGCAGCTCTAATGCACTGTTGTTCCAACTCTTTGCCATCGTCTCCTCTTTTGTTGCAAGTCAAAACAACTCAGGCTATGGATCATCCATCACATAGGAATTTGAAGTCACTAGAGACAAAACCAGCCATCATGTCAAACGAGAAGCAATCAATGCACAGATGCAAGGCTAGAGCAGGTGGTCTGCTGTCTCATTCTGCTGCCACAGCCATTTATTAAGCCTGCCCTGGCAATGCAAGGTTAACCAGCCAAAGCATGTGTAAGCATGGCCCCTGCTAAAAGGAGAACCAGAGAAGTACCAATAAGAATCATAGAATGGTTTGGACTGGAAAAGACCTTAAGATCATCTAGTTCCAACCCCCCTGCCGTAGGCCGGGACACCTCACACTAGACCATGCTACCCAAGGCTCTGTCCAACCTGGCCTTGAACCTTGCCATGGATGGAGCATTCACAACTTCCTTGGGCAACCTATTCCAGTGCCTCACCACCCTCACTGTAAAGAGCTTCTTCCTTGTATCTAACCTAAACTTCCCCTGTTTAAGTTTGAAGCCATTACCTCTTGTCCTACCACTACAGTCCCGAAGGAAGAGTCCCTCCCCATCATCCTTATAGGCCCCCTTCAGATACTGGAAGGCTGCTATGAAGTCTCCACGCAGTCTTGTCATGTTCAGCATGAGAGATGCTTGTTTCCTACTCAAGTTCCATGAGGAGGTCACTGCTGGAGTCATACTTGATCTCCTGATCTCATGGGATGTTCCCTGTGTTTCAGAGTTCAGGATGGGTGTCAGGGGAGCAGTAAGCTCCAAATCACTGTCCTCTTCCTCGGGGAACAGATTGAATGGGACATAAATGGAGACTACAAGGATAAAAGCAGGAGCTCGAGTACATCTGTGCATTTTATCTGATTTTAGTGC